GACGTGAAGGGTTCAGCGATCAACAGAAATCCTTAATAATACATAAAGAATTTGGAGGGATACCGTTTACTACCAAAAAATTAAGTAATTATCATTGACAAAATAACATTGATGGTATTCTAAACATTGATAGAAACCTGAATATCTTTAAAGTTGACTTTCACTGCAATTTGTATCCTGAAAAGCTAAGCCAAGTAAGATATTATTTCTGGTCTGTAAAATCTCTGAACATTTTAAAGTGTTAATCCTATTAGATCTTGGGTTTTACCACTGCCAAAGAATAGCTATATTAAAGAAAGTGCCATTCACAGGATCATATCTTTGATTTCAAATACAAGCAAATTATTACTAAATTTTCAACAAAAAACACTGGAACCTTACATGCAAGAGCAGTTCAGAAACTCAATCAGGTTTTCGGGGAGAGAGGGGAACCAGACACAATATAGCTTGAGGAGGCTTTTGGAAAATGCCAGAGAATGCTGGGAAAATTGCAGTTTTGCTTTCCATACTACGGTAAGATGCTTGATTGTGTTGACCATTAAGTCTTGTGGTGGGTCCATAGAAAGATGTGGAAACCTATTCATTACTATTTTATCACCATACTTTTCTAATGAAATCGTGTGAAAGGCAGAAATGAATGAAGTGAAGCAGGTTTTAGGATGAGAGGAAGCAAATACAACTTGAGATATGAGCATAACATAATACGATGTCAGAAAGTACAAAAGAGCCAAAGAGAATACTGAGGTTGATGGAACAACCTGCCCTTCTGGGTCTGTAGTCGAATGTATGACTACTTTAACAATCTAGGAGTAATATTTAACTGACAAGGGGCATCTGAAGGGGAGGCCATCAGAAGAATAACACTGAAGAATCTGATGAAAGTACTGAAAACTTAGATGTATCTGCTAATATGAGTCACTTCGGTCAATATAATAAGAATTTTGTATAAGAGCAAACTGTCAACTATAAAGAAATATGAAAGGTAGAAAAGTACTTTTAATCTGTGGTGCTGACAATGACTTTGAAAATACTACGGACCAAGTCAATGGTAAAGCTAATTCAACCAATAATGCCTCCAGATGAAAGTAATCAGAGGCAAAAACTTGATATTTTGGACACGTCATGAGGCTGGAGGAAGAAACAGAATTATGCTAAGAATGTTGGGATGCAGGACCAATAACAAGATGGACTAACACACGGCAGCAGACCAGTGAAAATTTAATCATCCTAAACCGGAGAAAAACAATTGGAGGAGGAAGATTTATTGTCACCAAGGGTTGTAAGCAATTTCACAGAACAGATAACCATTTATATCTCTTTGATAAAATATAAGCTCAAACTCAAACACATTTCACTATGCACCTCACAATAAAGCAGAATGACCGTACTTCAAAGTATCTCGGAAAAATAATTTGGTCCAAGAGGAGTATTCAACTACAAACTTTCCAGTCAAGCTTCACATGTCTCACAACTCTCGAAGTCTTTGATGGCTGTACACGTCAGACTGCACTTCCCCACACTTAGACAACATTGCACTCCCACCAGAAAATAATCCATACACAAGTATTTACTTTTGCTATTGTAATATTCCCAAACACTAGCTTTGACAAACATTTTCTAGTATAAGTAACTTTTTTGCCTCTAAAAATATGTTTTCTACAAATATCATAAACACATGCTTTTTAAATGTATTTTGTTTGATATTAGCAATTCAAAAGGAAGAGAGAAAAGAGAGTAATCATTCCTGAAGGATTGGCTAATGAACAGGCAGAACAGTTTTATTGACAGACAGGGTGAAGAAGAAAGAAAAAAGGCGACGAGAGCAGGAACGCATCTAGTCCCGCAAATACCGATCTCCAGGAATATTTTAACATTTTTCATTTATTTTAATTCACGTCTTTAAAGGGGAAAGTTTGAAAATAAAAAATAAACCATGCATATATCTTTATTCTTCCCACACATATGTCAATACTTTTCATATGCACCTTTTCATTCTTCTAAATACTCCTTCAATAACAGTTGCCTTATAGAAAATGCATTGTTATTTTGTCAAGTCCTGCTTTACAGAGATATGATTATTCTACTATCACGGAGATATGAGTTTAGATCTTTCATTCAAACTTGCACAGCCCTAAAAAAAAAATGTCAAGCACATGAAGCAAAAACTGAAATAAAAAAATAAAATAAAATAAAAGAAATGCCCTGTTCTATAACAAAGCAAACTAAGCACCATCTACCTTACAAAAAATATATATGTAAATATAATAAAACCTAAAAAATCAATATATTTATGCGGAGAAAATCAAATTTCAACATGAGCAAAAGAATCACCAACCACATGAGCAAATAATAAAGTGAGTTTTCTATTTCATTTGGATGAGATATGGATGACAACCTTTGTTCATATGGTTATAAGAATAAAAGGAGATACTGTGAAATATCACCATAAAAAAACCTACACACACGGACGAACGCATGCACACACAGACGCACGAACGCACCCACACACGCACACACAAACGCACATGCACACACAAACCTCAAAGCATTTTGTTCTGTTTAAACCTTGCAACAACCCATTCATCTTTTACTACAATTTTAAAACCATGTCATTCCATAGCACTTATAAAAATGAATAACCATAATCAAAATAAAACACAAAAATATAAAACAAGCATTAAAATCCTTATAAATGTCAATCTAAAAAAAATCAAGGAAGGAGACAAGTACTCTCATACAAAGTCACAGCCAATAACGTCAGTTCTTCATCCAGTCTCCTGGACTAACTCAAGTAAAGACTCGCAAGAGCTCTAAATCTAGTTTATATACTGTAATCCTAAGTCAGAGAAACCCTATAGGAACATTTGCTGTGACCAGGAAAATTGTAAAGGTGAACATCTTATACAAATTGAAATATTCCTATCATAGGGTACTTTTCACCTATAATATACATACACAATACTACTTATTTCAAATAAATAAAATATATTTTTATATATATAATTCTATATATCCAAAACAGTAGTAAAATTTAAGGATTTTTGCTTTACATTCATTCTATAAAAAATATATGCAGACTTCAAAAGGAAAGGCTTTAGTTTCACTATTTGGATCATGTTGCCTTGGAACATATGAAATGCTCATTAATTACAAAGATATGCTGCTTTATATATACCAAATATACATATCATATATAACAGTGATATTTCATATACCATAGTATGATATAAGTAATATACAGTGTATTACATACCATGTATAAGAGAAGAATAACATACAATTAATTCCATAGTTGTAAAGTTATGTACTCCAATTTCCCTGGTGAGACAGCAAATATGTAGAAGCACTAAATAACTATGGAAAGAATATGCTATGACACGAGCCAACCTGGTCCACATGTTGTGTATGAGACATTATCAGCAAGAACATATACTTGATTAATGCATAATGATAACTGAATAAAAACATGAAAAACTTGATGTGCCACTTGAAGGATGAAAATTGTCTGCACCTTCTTAATACTCTTGTCAAACACACAATACTCTAGACTAATCTCACTGGGATATATCCACCAGTACATAATTGAAGTGGAAGAAAAAACCCACATATATATCATATACATCACATGTATAACATTAGCTAAATGAACTTCTAAAATAGATAATGAGAATAACATTCCAAGCTCCCCCGAATTCTATTACAAAATCTAAGCTCTGAGAGAGTAAAAGGTTAATGATTAATCCCTACATGCAATACATTCTGAGGCTTGAGTAGCTCAATTCACCTTAAAATAAGTTTTCATATTTCCTTATTTATGAGAGTAATGCCAGGTCATGTAACAAGTTATTTTTATATAGGAAAACATAATGGTAATTCAAGCTTTCCTATGCCGATGAAGAGAGTTTCCAATATCATCCTGTACTGCATCTGATAACTAACTTTTGAAATGTAGTTGATTACTAAGTTACATATAACTTAAGTAAAACCACTGATCAGAATATCATCACTGCATCCTGTTGCTACTTCTAAGCCAATCATGGACTGAAGTTACAGTGAAAGAGATGAAAATGTTACCCCAACTTAGGGCATAGCAGCACTGAAGTATTCATTGATGTCCACCTTTGCTGCACCCCCAAAGTAGTCAAGGACAAAAATATTCATGATGTTCATCTTGGCAAAGAAAAATTTGTGATCTGGAAAAAAAAAAAAAAAAATGTTAAAACACATCTTTATTCCAAGAGGCCCTTTCATGAAACTTCTTTGATATAGTTTCAATTGTAATGCTACTAACCAAATTTACTTACATGCTACTGAAACAAACTCTTTCCCTCAAATTTTCTTAGGATAAACACACATAACAAATTTTCCAGTCAATCAAGTACATTCATATACATACCAGTAGGCCATGACTTCATGATTGGGTGTCTTGAGAACATTGCAGCCTCAGCAAAGCCCCACTCAGCTGTTCCATTCTCAACCTGCAACAATTAAAGAGTTCCATTACTTTTGTACACAAACCAAAACAATATGAAAAATATATATCCAGATGTTTGCACTATGTGGATGCATTATATGCAAATAAGTATGCTGTCATCGTTATTGCTGTGGCTGATGCAGACTTGCGGCAAACCTTGAGTTAATTACTTGCTTCATGGTCTTCATGGCCTCGGCATATTCCACACATTACTTGCGTTTTTCAATTTTGGATGGGAATTGTGCATGTACATTTTCCATTGACCACCTCAAGCTTTCTTTCCTTCTATTTTCCCTCAGCGACATAATTTTCCTAATGTCTGAATATTCTAAGTTATAGACGTTTGATCGCAGTTAGGAAAAATCCTTCCTGTATGAATAAATGTCTGTCTGTCTGTCTGTCTGTCTGTCTGTCTGTCTGTCTGTCTGTCTGTCTGTCTGTCTGTCTGTCTGTCTGTCTGTCTGTCTGTCTGTCTGTATGTTTGTATGTATGTCTGTGTGTATGTATGTCTGCGTGTATGTATGTCTGTACGTATGTATGTCTGTATATATACTTTAACTCATTAGATTTGGTTGCTTTACAGCAATCACATGGATTAACTTTACATGAGCAGCCCCTCTGCGGGATGCACAGCTTGCAGGCCATGTGCACGCAAACACTCATGTGTGGTGGTGACACAACTCTATGCCTCCCCTTTGCAATGTTACTTTTTCTTTTTATGCAAAAGCATTTTTAGCTTATTTTTTTGACATTTTCCAATGTCCATATTTGTAATTTAATTAGCTTTATTCAGATGGTAATACATTGTTTTCCATGCAAAGATGCCATATTACCCCTCGAACTTAGGGGTGGGCAAACTACAGGCCATGGATCACATCCGGCCTGTTGGTCCTTTTAATCTGTCCCACAGAAGAATAGTGAACGCCTCAGATCTGTACTGAGAATTACCACAACAAAACTAACACCAGACTTCGATGCACTGGCGAAAAAACGTTATCAATAAAATTGTTCTAACTAAAATTTAATTAAGTATTAACACTATAATACCTCCATATTTTTAGATTTGATATCTATGCATTTGAAGCTAGTCCCAAGCCTAAAAGTCTGCCTGTCCCCATTCTAGGTAGTCCCTAACTCAATGCAACAATTTTGTGTGTGTGTGTGGCGTGTGTGATATTAAATCTTCTTTAACATAACCTGCACTTCTGGTCATAACAGCTACAAATAGGATTCTGAGCATGGAAATGGCATCCACAAGGACCCTACATTCCACACTCATTAACTGAAGGGAATAATGAAAAAGCCCCTTCTTAAACACCAAATGAGGCAAATCAACCCCCAAGAGGTTTGTGCACTTGTGGCAAGTCTTTTCCATCACCCTAGCCTTCCGCCGAAATGCTCACAATAGCAAGTTCACATCATCCAGCCTAGAGCCAGAATTTCCCATGTTTTCCACATCACCAACCCCACAAGCCAAATTTTTGTATGACCTCATCTGGACTGAAGGGGTTAATGAGCACAGTAAGGTTACAATTGAACCATATTCATGTTGACAAATGTAGGAAGGTATTAATGAGAATGAATATCTTCAGAATAAAAGAGATGTATTTGACCAGTTTCCAATAAATATTTATCAGAAATACATACTGTATTTCTGACAATAAGATTTATTCAACTGGTCAAATACATCTCTTGTATTCTGAAGATATTCATTCTCATTAATACTTTTCTAAAAAATTACATTTCATTTCCATCACTCAGATACAATCAAATGAGATAATAATGGTAATCAGGCAACATATGATAATATAAAAAAAAAAACTGAATTGGAAATATGACTCATCAATTTCTCATAATTCAAAATAGAATCTGTATTACCTTGTTTTCCAAGCCTTTAGGTGATTATAGTAAAATGTAATACCAAAAAAGTATCTCATTTACTTATCAAGAACTGAAACCTGAATCTCGCTTGCTCTTAAAATGATATTACATTTTTGTTTTCTGAATATAAAAGCACCAATAAAATAACATATATTATGTTTGTCAGCATGATTTAAGATCTTCATGAACTTCTTTCATATGGGTCTTCAACAAAGAAGGGTAATCTAGTTTGTCATTATGTAGCTCATGTGCCTATAACATCAGATACTCAAAATCTGATAGCTATCAAATCTGTTACTGGAAAATTATAAAATATAATAAAATAACAAAAAAATAAAAAAACATTTCTCACCTTCATAATTTCACCTGTGATTAAAATGCGAGCACATCGGGGATCTTCTGGGTCAAAGTCTTTCTTGTGGCAGTAGTCAGACTGAGCTTCACTCATTGTGAGAGAAGCGCGGTTATCTTTCTGCAAACAGTATTTATTTACAGGAATTTCAATAAATAAGAAAAAATATATGTATATATAAATACACACCATCACACTACATATCTGTAATTTTAGCAATATGTGTAAAGCTCTCACTGCTAAAATTTCTATTAGGCAGGTACATACCCAGAACTGCCAAAACATATACTAATACGATACTATAATATAATTACATGAATTCTGGTAACCTGCTCTTAGAATTTAAAAAAAAATTGGATGAGCTGCAATAAAACTGCAAAATTCTTCTAAGCTGTTCCTATGATTCAGACTATCTATTAGACTTTCATGCACAACCCCATCAAGACAGTTATGTAGAAACTGAAATACACAGAAAACAATCCTTTTCTACAAGTTAAATCAGATTTACCTCCAGATCAATAGCTGTGAAGTCGAGTGGCGTAAGGTACATGTATGGGGTTCCACTGGACTTGTCAATTGGACCATCACTCACGCTCAGAACGTTGCCAAATGGAAAGCCTTCTGTGACTTTCTGGGTGGAGAATGTTGCTACAGTAGCCCAGTCTGAAAGTGAGGGAATCAATCTAAATGTGACAAATGGTGGACAATAATTGCATTGATCAATCTTAAAACCTTGGAATGATTTTTCAAAGAGATAAGGCATCATAACAAGAGCATGAGCTTTAAAACAAACTAACAGGTTGTTTTCTAATTCTTTGTTTTATCTTGAATGTCCACGTTTAACTTTGGCATTGTCTCACAAGTTTCACCTCCTCACACCACCCATACCCCTGTTCTCCTTGTATGCCCTTCTTTCCCTGAGCAAAAAATACAGTTATATTTCTCACTTTTTTTTTGGGGGGAGGGGGGATGGAACTTGATTGTGAAATAAGGTTTTAGTTACTGTATGAAATTTTTTACCCATACAAACAAGCTATCCTTTACTCCCTTCCATTACCTCACCATAAAATGGAATATCAAATACCACAGTGGCACCTACTGGTATATAAGTATGGTATTACTATCTATATACATGCATAAATGCACATGTTATTGATTTATATAATAGTAATACAGTGAACCCTCGTTTTTTGCGGGGGTTACGTTCCAAAAACAACCCGTGATAGGCGAAATCCGTAAAGTAGTAACCTTTATTTTTTTTACAATTATTATACAATGAAATACTCTACAATACATTGAAACCAAAGAACAAAACCTTTTTACAGGCCCAAGCATTTGTTTAACAAATAAAAGTACTGTATAAATGTTTTTTTTTACAAAATAACTACTGTACTGTAAAATAATAATCATAATCATCAATCATCTTCCTCTACATTTTAGGCCCGACCGCAAGTGCCTTTGGTGGTGCAGAACGTTTTGTCAACATTATGGGTTTTAGAGAAAATTTGCAAACTTAAATTTGGCAAGCTGTTTTACGTACATGTACATATTAAACCGTAACGTTATTGACACACAGGTAGAGAAGAAGCGAGACTGTTTAGCCAATCAGAATGCAGAACATAATGCACAATGCAAATCCGTGAAGCAGCGAGAACGTGAAAGGTGAACCTCGTTATAGCGAGGGTTCACTGTATACAATAATGTGTTGCAAGTACAATTTGTATCTTTGCTGTAATTTAATCCCACTTTCTCTCAGAAGTGAGGGTTAATTGCAATAATTTTCTTCAACTTTACTGTACGGTATATATTTGATACTTCATAGTGAAACGCATCTCATGGTGTGTAAAATCAACCAACTGAACAATCAATGACCAGAATTTGACTTGATAAATTTTGAAAAAGATCCACCAGTTGCAGCTTAGAGAATCAGTATTAATCTTTAAACCTTACGCAAAAAGTTATTGCATAGTTCTAAAACAAAATTCATCTTTTTAATTTCATACTTTCTGCATACTTTTATATATGAAAGAATAAATAAGTTTTCATGTCAATATTTTTCAGGAAATCTAGAAACTTTGGCTTTCATGTTCTCTGCTATGAGTTCATATCATAGTTGTTTCATTTCTATTTAAGAAATTAATCAGGAAACATCATCCTCAACACTTGATCTAAGGAAACTGGAATCGGCTTAAAAATAAAGCAACCTTAAAAGAGGAATAAAAGGAAAAAAATTGGAATAGTATACAGGTAGAAAAAGAGAAATACAGCAAAGAACAAGTAATCAAACAAAAATACAATATAAAAATGATGAATTGATAATGAAGAAAGATGAGGGAAAAGAATCTATGAGAAATTGAGGAAGAGGAATGCAAAAAGATATATTATAAACAGAAAGGAAGTAAGATAAAAGAAATAAGGAAACTATTTATGGGGGGGAAAGCAAGATCATGCTAAAGAAAATTTCTAAAAGGAAAAGAAAATAAGCAAACAGAAAGCAATGAAAAATAAGAAAAATATGAATAAAAAAAATAAAAACCTGCTAGGGACCTTACCTGAGGTGTGCACAATGTAGCGGGCCACCTTGGCCACCTGGTCATGTGGGGGAGGATCTGGCCAGGTTGTGCGCACTGACCCCGAGGCCACAACAACACCTTTATCTTTGACAGGATCTTGAAGGCCCTGGAAACAAAGATTCATTTAAGCGCAAGTTAAAAGATGAATATAGTACATGATAAATTAACTCCAACACCTCTATCTTGCTACAGTAAGTCCATGATCAGCAGCCCCACACTTAGGAAGCAGGAGGAGTCAAAGGAAGCTCCCAAACTATTCAAGGAACCACCTAGGGTTCCTCCAAGTGCCACCAGGAAAATGTATTATTCACTGTTGTATTTTGTAAAATGTCTCTATACATAAATGGCTCCACAAGTGCCACCAAGTAGTCAATTAGTCAACCTCATGACCTTTCCTGTTTTTACCTTTCCTTGAGCTTAAAGGAATTTTTTTTATAATTTTTACTAATGCTATCAATATTGATGTTATCATCATTATGGACATTTTAATTCCAATAATGTTCCTGACACAAATACTAGCAATAAAAGATAAAATAAATATTTCCAGAAATCAAAGAAAAGGGTAACTAGGCGAGATAGGCAGTACTAGTGATTGTCTCATTGCTGACTAAGGACTTGTGAAGCCATGTATGAGTAAAGACAATTTACAAACTAAACTCATTGTGGGCACAGCATATACGTACATGCCATCCCCGTCAGTATCTGGTTAATATGAACATAAAAAACAGCTTTGTAGATATCTTTAGCTAGACTATCATTTTGGGAGAAAACTACAACAAAAATATAAGCATAAGTGTATAAATAATTATAAAACGTTGATATGGACTGCATGCATATTGACAGTTTTCTTGGATGAAACTGGTGACTTCCTTCTCTGCATTCAGTTCTGGCAGTAGAATAGATGAAGAATGGGGGATGGGTGAGTGTAGCGTTATAGAAGCGAGACAAAAGGGAAGAAATATCAATTGATTATTAGAAAATTATATTTGCTACCACTGAGAGAAAATTATTTTTGTTTAAAACTATTTGTTGACTGAGGGAGAGGTATAGAAGGAGTATTGTAATAATGTGGCTTAGCCCAATAATTGCAGATGGCATTTCACTGTAATCTTCGTTTGTTTATTATATGTTTACACAAAAATGGCAACACAAACATTTCATTACAAGGGAGTCAAGTATTAGTTTTACTATCTAACTTGTTTATCCTTTTGCTTGATTTTAGAAAGTTTCATTTTCATCATTTTCTTGTTATTAGAATTTTAACACTATAATAATCAGGATGTCAATAATGAAAACAGTATCGGAAATATCAATAGTTATGGAAAAGAAAACACAACACAAATTCAAGCAACGGAGGAAACCAGGTGCAGTCACAAGAGCCTGCTAATTGAATCCTTGGTGGCTGAGTACTTGTGGAACCATCTGTGTGCACTAAAATTCACTAAAAACTACAGTAAACAGTACATAAACCTGCAGTCATTGCTAACAGAGTTATCATGACAGCCATGACAACCAAGGTGGCTTGACATACCTGCTGGTCTGCTGCAATCTGAGGACGCTTGAAAGTCTTGCCCGACTTGAAAAGGAATGGATCACTAGTCGCCTGTTGAAGGAGAGAAGTATCAATAGTATTTTTTCATGGGTGAGAAAATAATGCAGCGTACCAAAAATGTTTGCAAAAATTATAGTCTTAAAATACGTCTAGGAGGGTGTGGGAGTTAGTGGAAGTGGGAATGGTTGTCTGTGTGCATGCCCATGCCCGTGTGCGTGTGCGTGTGCGTGTGCGTGTGCGTGTGCGTGTGCGTGTGCGTGTTATGCAGGCCTAACAGGGTACCATACCTGGTAGACAGCCAATGCAATAGCAGTAGCAAAGAGGGTTGTTCCCAGACCCATCAAAAAGTACCGGCATTTTGAGACAGGAGCATGAGTCTGTGAAAAGAAGAAAAGGTTGACAAACATTATCAAATATTGTAATGAGATACACATCAAATTTCATAACCATTCAAATTATAAGACCGTTCTGCACAGAAAAAATCAAACCCTGTATAGTTATTTGCAATTATACCACACATCAAACTTTAATCCTTACACTAAATTCTCTACTGCTTTCTATATTCACCTCAATGTCTATAATACATTCAGCATTTATCTTACCAATTAAAGAACTTTATTCAGACAACACCATTTCTAGAAATTGACAGGGAAATGCCTTTTTAGATCCAGGAAAATGAAAAAAAAAGTTTGAAAGACAATGAAATAGAGGCAAAGGTCAAATTCCACTGATCCAAGCTCATATACAAAAGGTCAATCACCCTACTCTCTTGAGTTGACAACACATTCACATATTAATTATGGCAAGTAAACAAGCAGGTGGATATTTCATCACAGTATCAATCAAATCACTGTCTGAATTTTATCTGCCCATATTTGCCCATTTTGACTTTTTTAAGTTACATGCCATTTTATAATTTTCTCTGATTGCCAAACCTCAAAGAATTTCTTCTTTTCTTCTCATTCCTTTGAAGCACACCAAATTACGTGATTTTTTCATAAAACATATTTAATCCAACGTCAATGGGAAAATGGTGCATTCCCTTTGGCAATGCTTGGTTAAATGTTTCTGCACACAGATGACTCTGCCAATGCTTGGCCACAAAGGAGTTTTTTTTAGTAATGCTATCGATATTGATACTATTCTTTTTTGTTAGAAACATTACAATTACGATATTGTTACCGACATTACTAACAGCTCTAATAACTACTAGAAAATATTACCGACAATCAAGGAAAATGGTAAACAGGTGAGACAGGTAGTTCACGTAATTGGCTCATTGGTGACAGTACTTGTGAAGCCATCTATATGTAAAAACAATTACTAAGTTCAACACACACAATGGGGCATGGCATGTACGCACATGCCATGCCCAGCGACGTGGGGGTTAAAAATCGGCTTCAGTATCATTGTTTCATATTTCGCAAATTGAAAATTGTGGAAGACTATAGGAACTTTAGGAACACAGTCAATACACAGCTTCTAAAAGTCATCATGAGTATTGTGTTAACAGAAATGTCAAATTTGCCATTGGCTAGTTTTTCATGCATGAGTTTCTAATTTTTTTAAATGCTGTACATAATAATATACAAAGTATGGTACATATATAGGATGCATATTTAAGCACAAAATCCGATCAGCCAAAATAAAGGCTTTCTGGAAACAAAACAATTGATCCAATGAGCCACAATAAAACAAAGATTCTTAAAACTTGACAGGCTATTTTCTCACACAATTTTTGCTGTCACTGGAAGGTAGGGAGTGTAAAGGTGCTGTCACACTAGCACTTTTTCCATCAATTTTTTTTTACATTTTTCTGATATTTTGTATTTTTTGAAATTGTCAATTTTGCAGTCAGACAATAATTATCGTTTCTGTCTGAAATCCTTTCCGTCAACTTTTTCAGCCAATAGTCAAATCAAGAGGTATATTCAAGAATGTTTATATTTATGCTAAATAAAATTGTTAAAAAATTGACGGAAAAAGTGCTAGTGTGATAGAACCTTAAGAAAGTCATTCTAATACTGTTTAACAAGTTCCTTCCAACAACACCAACCAAAACCCTCCCATTTCCAACCCTAGAGTGCTACTTCTCCCTGAGCTAATCATGCAATTGGGTGTTGGTTTTGTTCACGCTTCTTTTCGTTAAAATCAAAATTTTCACAATGTATGGCATGCACAATGCCCAACAAACAACACCCCCATCCACCTGTTCTCTTGGTACCGCCTTTTCTTCCTGAACCAATCATAAAAGTGCCTCCATTGTCAGCGTTGCTTCTTTTCTACTTGTGAATGAACATAGCAGGTATGAAATTAGAAGTATTGTAATACATGGTATGCACATCCCAAAAGCCTTCCACTTCTCCCATATCCTTGGTACCCCCTAGTCTAAACCTAGTCTCTTCTGCAACCACTGACCAATATATAATAATCTCCATGGTCCCCCATTTAGCATCTCACCTTTTCAGATTCAGTTATTATTAGTTATGAATAGTGTAATGGTGCCAATAGCTATTGGACAAGAACACTATATAGAAATGGTTAATGGTTAATGGTTGAAACAAATAAATGTGATAGACATCAAAGGTCATAAAGTACTATGGTAAAGTATTGCATCAAAAAGGATAAAAATTAGTTAACAATTAGGATAAAATGTGCTAGAAGTCAAAGGTTATAGTGTTATAGAATAGCATGATAAAACAGTAAAGAGTGGGTGCAAAATGAAGTAAATCACAATTAGTAGAGGAAAGAGTTAAGGGTATAGGGCAATTAGACGAAATGGAGTGTATATGTGGCTTTGGGAGCAATAGGAACAGTTTATGAAAAACTGGTAAAAGAGCTATTATGAAAAATTTAATGGGTAACACAGAGATGCAGCAAGAGCAGAACCTGGGGAATAAGATAGGGGAATTGGGGAAGTCTGTGAAGTATCACAAAGAATGTCATCAGGTGAAAGATCCAGAAAAGGACACATTTGCAACAGAAGGGACTCACATAAGTATCCAGGTAGGAGAGGTAAGGATAATGGAGAACAAAGAGGGAATGGTGCACATGGAGGAGGGGATGGGGTGTGTTGAGTAAGAGTGGGAGGAAAAACGGTACAGGGAACTTGCGGGGGAGGGGGAGGAATATCAGCAAATACTTTGAATAGAGAGGGAATAGGAATAGAGGAATTGCAGGGTGAATGAGGACTAATAAACATTTTTTAGTGAGGAAAAGGAGTGGGGATAGATGTTCAAAGAGCAGAGGAAGGATGAGGGAGAAGGAGAGGATGTGGTAGGCGAAGATGGAGTGGAGAGTAAGGGAAAGAATCGATCCCACTTGGCTTAGCCAGAGAGTACTCAAACGGTTTGTAGAGGTGGAAGCAGTAGAAGAATGAGGGTGGAACAAAGATGGAGTGGAGTGGGGTGAGGTAGTTCTGTGGGGAGGACAATAAGGATGAAGAGTACTAATAAGGGGGGTAGGGGTAGATAATGAAGAAGACTGTGCACTAGATTGAGTGGAGAATGTTGGGAGAGGATGGCATGTTTTCTGAAGGTTGAGTAATGACCTGGGTGAATTGTTCAGAATTGACACAGTTGTAAGGAAACACAGAGGAAGGTATACTTGTACAGTGGTCAGAGCCGTGGTCAAACGAGAGGCGGAGGTTAAAAAAACAATGAAATCAAATTCAGATAGGCCAGATAGCCTTAACAAGCCTTAATGCCCCTAATAAGGACAAAAAATCATTACTGGCCATGGTGAGCCTGAAATAAGTGGGAAAAAGAAACAGTCTACCACCTACAGTCCCCAAAAGGGGTAAGGGTTAGGTGATTTACAAAAAGAATACTATGCCCATGGCTCCTAGAGGCCGTTTCATCCTTTCAGCACGGCTCTCACACCTTAGGATGTGGACAGGAGAATGGGATGAGGAAAAGAAAGAAAATTAAAGGGGGATATGCAAAAAAAAAAAAAAAAAAAAAAAAAAAAAAAAAAAAAAAAAAAAAAGCAAAATTAGTTGAGGCTAGAGCTGAGGTTGGGGTAATCTCCTACATTGGGCATACCCTGGAAACCTCTGAGAATTAACATGCCTCTGTGAATTAGCATAGTAGGTATGAAATAAGAATTTTCATGGCTTATGGCTTTCTCTTTGCTTTACTAATTAATACAGAAAATGAAACAACACCATACACCTTGTACCCTTTAAACAATTTTACTCTTCATATTTTTGTATCATGGTTTACTTGTCTTTTTTCACTATACATAGAATAATGTTTTATTGCCCTGTTGCCCTCTCCATTACCCTCTTTTTCTTTTTCTTTCTCTTCCTCTCCCTCAATCTCTATCTCTTTGTCTTCCCCTCTTCTCTTCTCTCTCTCCCTCCCCTCTACATCTCTCTTTCGTCTTTCTTTCGTCTCTTCTCTCTCTCTCTCTTTCTCTTCTCTCTCTTCTCCTTCCCCTCTCCGTTCTCTCCTTCTCCTTCCTCTCCGTCTCCTTCCTCTCCTTCCTTCTCCGTTCCTCTCCCTTCCTCTCGTTCTCTCCTTCTCTTCTCTCGTTCCTCTCCTTCTCCTTCCCTCTCTGTTCCTCTCCCTCACTCTCTCTCTCACTCTCACTCTCTCTCACTCTCACTCTCTCTCACTCTCCTCAGTTCACTCACACACACACTCACACACACTCACTCACCACGACTACACGCTCACTTCACTCACACACACTCACCTCTCATTCAACACTCCAACTCACCTCTCACCATCACTCTCACTTCTCGTTCTCTCTCTCTCTTCTCTCTCGTCTCACTCTCTCACCTCTCTCCTCTCCTCTCTCTCACTCTCACTCTCTATTCTCTCTCTCTCTCACCTCACTCTCTCTCACTCTCTCAGTCACTCTCATCTCACTCTCATCTCACTCTCTCTCTCACTCACTCTCACTCTCACTCTCACTCTCACTCTCACTCTCACTCTCACTCTCACTCTCACTCTCACTCTCACTTTTACTTTTACTCTCACTTTTACTCTCTTCCAGCAGTGAGGGAATATCTCTTTGCTTCTATCAATTCCACCCTCGGCATGGTAATGGAAAGAGTCCATTACTAGGTCTTGGCTTGGGATTTCAATTTCCCACATTCTTTTGTTTTTAAAAATGCATGGTATAAATGAAATCATCCCCCTAACTCCCACCCCAAATCCCCATGGGATCCCCCAACATTGTTGGCGGGAGTCAGGAATTTCATCTCTGACATGTGTGGTCCTATTGTAAACATTTACCTAATAATAACAGCATCAATATTGGAGCTTTAGTAAACAAATTTTTTTTCATGTAAATTCAAGGAGAGGTGAAATCAAGTGAGGTCATAAGTTCTACTAATTGACTCCTATATATCTAAGCACTTGTACAATACTACAGTGAACACATTTTCCCAGTAACAGTAGGTTCAGTCATCATATATTTAATTCCTTTAAAGCTAAGCGCTTGTACAATACTATAGTGAACACATTTTCCTGGTAACAGTGGGTTAAGTTATCAAATGTTTTAAGTTATCATTCTTTTAGTTTCAAATACTTATTGCAGTCGTCATTCAGTACATCCCATAAAACGTTCTGCCCTCGTAATACTTCTGATGCAACTTCCAGGGCAGAAGTCCATTCCTAGTGCTAGTCTTGCTTTCCCAAAATCTTTCACAAAGAATCTGGTGAAAGGAAATTGTTCAAATCCTTTATGACTGAAATCTGACTCAGGTTTCCAATCATTCAGTTTCCTTTACCTAATGAAATGAAGTTTTTGACTCACACTTTACATTCCTCCATATTCTGTTACTGTTTTAAAGAGTGATTTTACCCACATTTTCCCCGCCATATACCAACAACTTCACCACTTTACATTTTCTATTAATGAGAACCACTTTTAATTAAATGCATATACAATTTTTTAAACTTCAGTTATTTTTAATACTTTTGTTCAGCTGAACAATTCATCTGGAGCTTAATTCAGAGGCTTTATTGAATTTTAGTGCAGTGTGCCTGAAAGAGCCTTGGACACAAAATGGAGGCTGAGATGTGCATTGGGTCTGGATGGAGTCAGTGCTTTAGAAACCATGAACCCTGAAATCTCTCACTGAAATCGTTTATTCCAAGAAATGAAAAAAAGCTGCTGCTCCCAAATTAAATCTACAATCTGTGAACTTCATTAATCTGTGGTGTTTTTTTTTTCTCTCTCTCTCTCTCTCTCTCTCTCACATGCCCATGACTTTCTTGTTATCAACTTGCGAAGATAACACCATAGCTGGCCTCTTATTTTCAGCCATTCTGCCCGTTACATACAAAAATTACCTTGTACCTATACCTGTGTCAAACTGAAACTATACCTAAATTGCATCCATCCTACATAACACACTTATATTCACAGGAGAGGAGAGACCACAAAAAGTGTATGTTATCACTCTCACAGATCGCTTAATAAGACGACTCCATTCTACTTCCGCTTACCTTTCCTAAACAGTAAACAACAACAAATCAGCTTCACATACCCTTGTCTGGTGTTCTGGATCCATCAAATTCTCCGAGGACATCGAAGGTTTTGCCATCTTATAGCCGTACATGGTTTATATGTGAATTACATAAAGTCATATGACTACGTCTTGCAACTTTGTGTCCTTCCCTTCGCAATTGGCAGCTGACCACTGTTTTTCCCTGGCGATTTTCAGGAAAGTCTACACCTCTAATTATTAATTTGTCGTATATTATGTTAACTCGTTCATTCGATGATATGAGTATATTACTGAAATTATGTGCAATTACTGTAAATTTATTAATATATACATGTTAGTTTTGTAGAGAAACTTTGAAATGAAAATATTGACAAATAGTAAATTTCATTCCTCAGGAGAAAGCAGAAGTCAGGATTCTTCTTTATAATGTCTATTTTGTATGCCTAGGTCAGCAGAACAAGTAATATCTAAAATAAATAATTCTGGTATTTTTCTTTACCCAAAACTGACTACAGAAATTTTCAAGTAATGGATAGGAAATATTGCATGTAATGTGTTTACTTAAAAATCAGACGAAGCCAGAAGGCAATAATTCGGACAGAAAATGGTACATTTTCTGTGGACATTTACGTTTTCTATTTCATTCAGTTTTCGCTAAGTGCTGCCATCTATGGCCAAAAAAGTGAACTATATTCCCGGCGCGTCGTCTGCTAGTACAACGCGGGAAACGTCAGTGCTCGCTGGACCTTCGTGACGTGAGGATAGTGCCGAATCTCCGCGCGGGAGGAGTTTGGGGGGGAAAATCACAGAAGATAATATTTTGTGCCTTGGATTAAAGTGTTCCCCCCGAATTATTGCTTATTTCTTTCTTTCACTCCCGGAAGTTTTAACCACGGAGAAACTGGATTATCGCTGAGGAGTTACGGAAACAGCATTCACCATGGCAATTTATAAGGTAAGATGAGAATAGAAGATCGGCGAAGGGGAGAGCGAGCGCGAGGGAGGGGAGGGTGAGGGGTCCACGCCATGGAAGGGGGAAAGGCGTCACTAGTTTTCAATCGCATGTCCCCTCCCCCTTCTCTCCTCGCCTTTCCTTTCCCCTCGACTTTATTCCTCCCTTCCCACCCTAACCCGGAGAGGCGCTTAGAGCTCAATTACCGCCTATATATCACAGGGGAATGACCTATGGATCGGCCGGGAGTCGACCTGAGAGGTAATTTGAAAGAGCGATTCAGAGGGAACCTTTTGAGATGCCGAAGGAGGGGCTGTGTGACCCGCCCTTCTCTCGGAGGCTGCGGCGCCTCTCGCCGGAGGGGAGGTCGAGGGCGCCGCTGGGGCTGTCTGGGCTGTTTGGAAGCGTGTGTGAGCTGTGTTTGTTAAGTGTAAGGCTGTTTTTTGGCGTGTGTATGTGTGTGTGTGTGTGTTTGTGTGTTGTGTGTGGTGTGTGTGTGTGTGTGTGTGTGTTGTGTGGTGTGGTGTGTGTGTGTGTGTGTGTGTGTGTGTGTGTGTGTGTGTGTGTGTGTGTATGTGTGTGTGTGTGTGTGTGTTGTGTGTGTGTGTGTGTGTGTGTGTGTGTGTGTGTGTGTGTGTGTGTGTGTGTGTGTGTGTGTGTGTGTGTGTTGTGTGTGTGTTTGTGTGTTTAAGTTTTGATTGTTGGTGTCCTTAGGGAAAGTCTATGCTGAAAGGACTTAGTTTGCTGAATTACTTTTTTTTGCGACCTTGTTATGTTGGAATGTTATTAGATATATGGATACAAACATATACGTGTATATATGTGTATTTATATATTAGGCCTATCTCTCTCTGTCTCTCTCTGTCTGTCTGTCTCTCTCTTCTCTCTCTCTCCTCTCTCTCTCTCTCTCTCTCTCTCTCTCTCTCTCTCTCTCTCTCTCTCTCCTCTCTTCTCTCTTCCTCTCTCTCCTTCTCTTCTCTCCCTCTTCTCACTCTCCCTCTCTCCCCCTTCTCACTCTCCCTCTCTCCCCTTTCTCACTCTCCCTCTCCCCCCTTTTTCACTCTCCCTCTCTCCCCCTTTCTCACTCTCCCTCTCTCCCCCTTTCTCACTCTCCCTCTCTCCCTCTTTCTCACTCTCCCTCTCTTTATATTACATATGTGTGTGTGCGCGCGCGCGCGTGTTTGTGTGTGTGCTTGAGTCTCGTACGCAGATCTTGTGAGGTGACTGAGAGATTTTCTCCATGAGTCACAGCCCTGATCACGTCACATTAATATGTCACCTGTCAGAGGGATGGTCGGGGAGTAAGCAACAGATCGATGGATTCTGTAATATGAAGAAACTAAAGCGATAGCAACGGTTAACGTAAACAAGGTTAGGCGGTATCTGCTCGCCGCTGGTTAGCCGAGATTCATTGCCTGATGTGATATGTAAACACTTGCTGTTTTTTATATTCATTTTTTTTCGTGTGGTTTATTCCCATGTGGTCGTCATGGTGCGTCGGTGGTTGTCATTATCAGTATCGTCATCGCCGAATCATCCTCATTATCAGCATCAGCATCATTTACCATATCATTATCATCATCATCACCATCATCATTTACCATATCATTATCATTATCATCATCATCATCATCATCATCATCATCGTCATCATCATTTACCATATCATTATCATCATCATCATTTACCATATCATTATCATTATCATTATCATCATCATCTTCATCATCATCATATCATTATCATTTACTATATCATTATGATCATCCTCATCCTCATTTACCATATCATTATCATCATCATCATCATCATCGTCAACATCATCATCATTTACCATATCATTATCATCATCATCGTCAACCTCATCATCATTTACCATATCATTATCATCATCACCATCATCATCATCATCATTTACCATATCATTATGATCATCATCATCCTCATTTGCCATATCATTATCATCATCATCATCATCATCATCGTCAACATCATCATGTACCATATCATTATCATCATCCTCATCATCATCATCATTAACACCATCATCATTTACCATATCATTATCATCATCATCATCATCATTTACCATCATCATCATTGCTGTCAATGCTATTGTGATGTATTTTTTGTACTGATGTTTATGTTTCATTAGTATTGTCAATATTATGATCCCGTTTCGAAATATTTATTAAAAGAATGAAGACTATTTCAATAAAGTGATGAATTGTTTTCGCCATAATTCCAATTCCTTGAAAAGCCAAGTGTCAGAATTATTGCCTATAAAATATTTTTGATAACGTGCACTAAAACAGGATGATAACCTATAAAATGCGTGTTTTGAAAAGAGAGAGAGATGAGAGACAGAAAGAAGGGAAGAAATAAAGAAGAGAGCAAGAAAAAGAGGAGGAGGGGAAGAGATAGAGCCAGCGAGAGAGACAGACAACCAGAAAGAAGAGGCAAATTAAAGGAGAGAGAGAGAGAAAGGGAGGGAGTGGAAAGAAAGGCAGAAAAGGGTGGAAAAGAAAAAGAGAGAGGAGAGAGAAATGCACACACACACACACACACACACACACACACACACACACACACACACACACACACACACACACACACACCACACACACACACACACACCACACACAGATATAATATATATATATATTTATATATATATATATATAATATATATATATATATATATACATAAAACGCACACACACACACACACCGCGCAGAGAGAGAGAGAGAGAGAGCGTAGGGAAACAGAAGGAAGAGTGAGAGAAAGAGAAACAATACCATCCGAATGCAGACAACGAAACCGGGGCTCTGTTTCTCACCCGCATAAATCCGAGTTAGGAAAATACGAAGCGCAGCCCACTCATCCGGAGAGGGAGAGGGAGGGATGAAGGGGCGCCACTCACGAGACAGATAACTCGACCGAGAAAGAAACGTGTAAATCAAAAAAAAAAAAAAAAAAAAAAAAAGGATAAATAAAACGAAGAAGAAAAAGAAAAAAAAAGAGAGGAGTGCACTCGAACACGAGACTGAAATAGGAGGGGAGGAAATGGGGGAGAGAAGGAGGGAAGAAAAAGAAAAAAAGAGGAAGTAAACACGAGAATACGAGACTGAAATAAGGGAATGGAGGAGAATGGGAGGAAGGAGGAAGAGATAAAAAAGAAAGTACTCTCGAACACGAGACTGAAATAAGGGAGAGGAGGAAAATGGGGGTAAAGGAAGGAGGTAGGAAAAAAAGAAAAAAAGTGGAAGTAAACACGAGAACACGAGACTGAACTAAGGGAGTGGAGATAAATGGGGGGGGGGGGAGGGACGAAAAAGAAAGAAAAAAAAGAGGAAGTACACTTGAACGCAATACTGAAATAAGGGAATTGAGGAAAATGGGGGGGGGGAGGATGGAGGAAAAAAGAAAAAGAAAAAAAAAGGAAGTACACTCGAACCCGAGACTGAATTAAGGGAATGGAGGAAAATGGGGGGAGAGGAGGAGGGACGAAATAAAAGAAAAAGAGAGGAAGTACACTCGAACGCAAGACTGAAATAAAGGAGTGGAGGAAAATGAGGGGAGGAGAGGAAGGGGGAGAGATGGTGGACGTGAAAGAGGAAATGAGAGAGACCAAACAACTCGGAGTGATGACTGGCTGAGCGTTCGAATGCCATCGTTGTATTTCAAATGACCATCATCACCAACGCGTATGTGTGTGTTTGTCGCGATGAAAAGATGATTGTGACAATAATAATGATGATATTAACGATAACAACGATGATAATGATGATAATGTTGATGATGACAATAATAATGATGATGATTATGATGATATTAACGATAACAACAAATAATGATAATGATGATAATGTTGATGATGACAATAATAATGATATTAACGATAACAACACCGGTGATAATGATGATAAGGTTGATGATGTTGATAATGCTAATGATTGTAATATAAACCTAATAAAATAAAATGAATTAAACCGAGAGAAAGGCATAAGGATATTCCACTGAAAATAAGGGCAATGGACAGGGGAAATGGGAGAAAAAAGATGATGGAAAGAATGGGAGAAAAAGACGAAGGAAAAGAGAAGGACAGCAGCAAGGGCGAAGGAAGGACCCCCAAGACGACCTCCTTGATCAAGCCCAAGAATTCTTCCCAAGTTTTGATCCTCTGTCGCGGGCTGAAGGGGTTGGGGTGGGTGGGGGGGTGCGGCAGAAGGAGGCCCCGTGTCTCTTTCTC